GCCCAGCACCCACGGCCTGGCCCGAGCGAATGGTGCCGATGCTCTGGCCATATTGCTGCTCCGCCGGCTGCCAGGATGAGCGTGTTTCAACTTTCGCACTCGCACACGGAAGGCACTGAGCATACTTGGGGCTTTCGATGGCTTTCGAGTGATTCACAAGGTTTGATAGAAGCTTGTCCGAATCCTCCTCAATGCTTGTCTGGGACACCCTCCGCAGCATACGACCGAAAGCCTAGTTGGCCCTGCTGTGGGTCTCATCTACCCGCTTGTCGGCGTCAGCAAGCCTCATCCATTATGAGGCCCGAGGATTTCCGGCGCACCTTGGTCTCTCCATGCAAATGCAACTTAAACAAAAAGCAACACAGGCACGGAGGACCTGAAGCCTCCAGCCTCAGCCATTCTCAGCAGCTACAGCATCCACGCGCTGCAAGACTTGACCAAGCCCCTCCGAAGGTGCGAATGAAGTGCCGGAGTATGAATACGTTTGAGTTACCATCTTCGGGCGGCCTGCACACATACGGACAGATCCGAATTGTATATTTGGGAAATCCTATTCCGAACCCAACGGTGACATCAGCCTGTTTCTCACCTTCCGCACCTGGTCTACCACAACAACTGCGCAGCGCACCCTTCCCCTCGTGGCTCTGAGCACTTCTAAGGCGTGCACCATCGACATCCGTCGACCGGCGGGAGCCGCCTGGGCCTGTTCAAAGCTCCGTTTGCCAATCTTTGCGCCTGCTCTTCTAACTTCATCTCTGACTTTTTTGCTCAACGTCAAGGCTATCCGCATGCTGTGGGCAGCTCGATTGCCATGTCCTCGCAAAAAGCATAGCTGCCGCCCACGGCATCCCGTTCCAACTCCTGTTGGAAACAGGTCCTCTGCTCTTCTGTGCAGCCTCCTGGCACATCTTTGACCAGGGCAAGCTGCTCTGCAATTTGACGGCAGGCCGCCCTGCTGTCATCGTCGTCATGCGCATGCGGGATCAGTACCTCTCTGAATATCCTCTCGCCGTGTATCGCCATCTCATGTGGCGCAGTCTGGGCGGAGAAAAGGAGGACCAAAAGGCCTCGACGTCGGACACGCGTGTAAATGTCGTTGCAAAGCAGAAGCAGCGGCTGCGGCATCTGACTGAGGAGTCCAACCGGTGTTCTGCATCCGGCCATCAAAAGCCGAGCGCAAACCTCCAATGCTGCCCACCTCACTCGGGGGTTCGTATTGGTGAAGCAGGACAGAGCTGCTTCCGAAACCTCGCCGGCGCTTTGCTCATCCACGGTCTGCTCACCATCTTCCGAAGTTTTAATTGCAAGCCGCAGTAGCAGCAGCAAACCTCCGTGCTTGGCTTGCCATGCTTCCATCTGCAAGAGTTGAAGAGCTGCAGCATGCAGCTTGGAGCACGCTCGGCCAGATCGCCGGATCAATCGGCAAGCATCGTCCAAAGCTTCCTGCAGCAAGGCTTCTTCCGCTCGACTTCGGTCGCCATCGTCTGCTTCAAGCTCAGTTTCGCCGTCAACGACTTCGGCCCACCACTCGGTAGCCTCAGGTGACGGCAGCTCCGCAAGCACAGCTGCCAGTGCTGTCAAGGTGTGCACCTCTAGCTCCGACTCCTCCACGCTGTCGCTTACATCCATGGTGGAAGATAAAACGGACACATCGGAGGCATTGAGGAGTTGCATCAATGACTCCATCGCAGCCAGCCTGGCTGCGGGCTCTGCTTTGGAGTCCATGGCGGCACGAGCGAGAACACCCGGCAAATCACCCAAGTCTTCTCCCCAGATCTCCGGATCTTCTCGAACAACTAGTGCCAAAGCCTGGAGCAAAGCCTCTCCGGGATGTCGGACCACCGCCTGTGCAAGTGCTGGCGCCAGATGCCGGAATGCCCTCCGCAGCTCTTCCGGAGCCTCTGCCTTGACGAGAAGACAAAACATACGTGCAGCCGGTTCGGCAAGCGTGTCCTCTGCTGCAGGGTCGAGAAGAGCAGATGCCAGAAGTGCGTGCAAGGCACCAGACTCCTCTTGGAGAGCAGCTAACTGGGCATAAACCCATGTCATGGGGTGGACGGTTGCATTGTCCTGCCAGTCCTCTGCAAGTTCCGCTTCATCTCGCAGCACTTCCAGCAGCTCAAGGACTGCCATCATCTCAGGACGCGCGCCAGTGTTGCAGAGTCTTGCAAGAGTTGCTGTCAGTGCGGGCCATGCCCGACCGCCAATTGTGAATTGACGGAAAGCTGCTGTGCCAACAGCATCTGCAGCTTTGCATCGAACCGTCGGCTCCGACACCGACGAACGGAATGACTCGAGGAGGGTTTCTCCGAGACCTTCTCGGACCCAGACAGGACATGCTGGGCTTTCTTCTTCTGTAATCTGCCCAATGGACCCGTTAGCTTTGGGAATAAGGCTCACGCTGTTCTGACTGAACACCTCCCTCAGTAGTACAGCAGCACACCGTCTGGCCTCCACATCGCCTGCGGTAATACGCAATGCAAGTGCTGTGCTGAGACCACCTGGGTCGTCGGCAACTAAGCGCTGCAAAACCAGCGAAGCATCCCGCTTGCGCTCAGATGACGTGGAGGTGAATCCCTCCAGCAGGCCGTCAATGTCGGCATCTGAGGTCGGAGCACCCCGCTTCATAGCTTACCATCCATGGCACAGGCAGAAGGCGACGTTTCCAGGTTGCTACACTCGCATGCTGACAACGCTGCAGACTACAAAGTTTCTGCTCTTGACTTCCAGGACAGGGAGGCCTAGGACACTGCGAGGTGCAGAATGTGAGAGTGCGAATCCCAGGACTTTACTTAAATTCGCAATAACCCTAAGGCCCTAAGCGAAACCTGGACCAGTCCTGGACCTGCTGTGTACAGCTTTGAACAGAATGTGCCGCAGCAACGTTCCACCGGAAACCAGAAGCACCACGAGCGGATTTGCTGCATGCAGTCTGTGAACCAGGGATCTGAAGTGGCGGACGGCAGTGCTAAAAATCTCAAACACAAATCCTCTCATGCAAACCCCAGACACCAAAATGCTTTTGTCGATTCTCCCTGACAGGAAGGACCCCTTAGATTATAGAAAAACTACATGTCTAGCCAGGCCATGCTGTAGCATCGGTGCGGGGAGTCATTGATGCTTCTGACACTGTTACTAACATTTGCTGTTCGCCCCATACCCTGTCACCACGCAGGTTGCCTGCTCCTGCTCCTCAGCAGAAGGCGATTTTTTGTAGACCGTGACCTGCACAAAGCATGTTGCGCCTTTGCTTGGGAGCCTTCTCTTTAAGGCCGAGTTTGGAGCCGAGTGTCGTCGGCGTCAAATGGCTCTAAATTCGAAAATCAGCTGACAAAGTCGACGCCTCTCCATCGAGGATGAGGAACAGGTCGAACGAGGAGTCACCCTCGTAGAACAACACGCTACCCTTTGGGTAATGGACCTGCCATCGCTTCAGCAAAGAGCACGAGGCTCCGAGCGTTACCTCTCTCCCAAACCAATTGGCTGCTCTGTGCTTCTCGTCTGGCAAGCTCCAAAGCTTCACCAAAGCTTGCTCGAGCGGAGTCTCTAACATCGTCCTGAAACACACACATGGCCAATCAGTTCTACAGTACAGCATCCCCAGCGTCCATCAACACGGAGACGGAGAATACTTTAGTCTTATTCGAAGCTTCCCAGGGCCCACACGCAAGGGTCGTGCCCAGACTCAGCAGGCTTCAAGCTACTCTAATTCATGAGGTCGGGGGCGGTTGGGCTTATCCTGCCCTTATCCCGTCTTTTGGAGGTCCCCAAAACAACTCCGGGTATCTCTAGTCCATCCAAGCGCATTCCCGGACGATCCAGGCTTATCCCAAATGGTTGCCACACCTGCAAAACTGGCCATCCAGACTTAGACTTATCCCAAAACTGTCAATTCTTATCCCACAAGCGTCGAAGGTCCGTGACGCCTCAGTTGCTGGTGCAAGGTGGTGGGATAAGCCAGGATCCGTTTTTGCAAAACACCCCCTCCCCACCTAGCTCCCCCTGATTCGTCGAGTCTAGCCGCCTCCCACGACCAAACAAGTCAACTGGCCTGTTCAACAACGCTCATCAACTCCTCCTTTGCTGCAAGGGGAAGGTCCTGCCAGCTGTGCGGTGCATGATCATGTTCTTGGGCCAACGTCCACAGGAAGCTAGTCATACGTAGGTTGGGCTGATCGTGCTCACTCGTCAGGCTTCGCGATGTCGAGCATGCGACAGCCGTGGCCTTGAGAAGGTCGAAATTCGCCAGCTTCTCCTGGTCGCTGGAAGGACGGCAAGCGAGTCGCCGCAGGTCTTCGGCTACCCGCGCCTTCATTACCTGCCTCTGCACGCGATCCATCATCTTGGCCATGGCGGGCACCAGAAGGCCAAAAGGCAGAGTTGACAGGATGTTTTGTAAACTCTCGGCTTCCACAGTTGACGCCCTCAGTAGGCCGAACTGGAGTTGGGTTGGGCTTGGGCTGGGCTGGCAGGGGGGGGGGGGGGGGGGGAGGCGTTACAGGCATGGCAATTCCACCCTGAGTGGGTTTTGGGGTTGAGCTGGGCTTGAGGCAGACCAGAGCATGCGACTCAGCAACTGGAATCGCAAACCATCATATCGGCCTCAACAAGAACAAGCGTCTTTGCACAACTGGAGAGACCTTCGCGTGCTTGCCAGCAGACACTCAGAATTATAAGGCAACGAACGGTACCAATACTGCTTGCTCGTCAGGGATGCAAGTGGCATGCTCTCAAGGATCGAACCCCTTTTCCTTTGGCACAAAGAGTTCCTCCACTCCCTAAAGCCTAAAGGCATTCGATTCCTGGAGTCGCATGACGGACTGCGCATTGTGTCTACTCGCGCATTTGCCTGTGGTTATCAACTTAGACTTACACAAGCATGGCATGCAGCCGGCCTGTGATCCTATGGGGCTGTCCTCTGTGCATATGTTCCTGCAGATATTGTTGCCACGAGTAACTGTGTGACGGCTATCATGCCCCATTGCTTTGCATGGCTCGCTTCACGAAGCAGCTTCAGGCGTCAGCCACGTCCTCTCTCGGACCTGGTCTGCTTTCGCCTGGTGGGCAGCATTTGCTGGGCTAGCCTGCTGATCTCTCGTGTCTTGCTCGCCTGTTCTTATGCAACAGCTAGTGAGAAACACTTTATCGCTCAGGTATGGGTTAAGGCCGCGCGCCACATGTTCACCGTTGGAATAGATGTAACTTACGCACAAACACACCGACCGACCAACTAACGAAGAAACAATCAAACGATGCATGCATGATCATGCATGTATGCATGCATGCATNNTGCATCCACACACCCACACACCCTACCTACCTGCTGCCTACCTGCCTGCATCCACACACCCACACACCCTACCTACCTGCTGCTTACCTGCATGCCTGCCTGATTGCTGCCTTGCTGCCTTCCTACCGACCTACCTGCCTGCCTACCTACCTGTTGTACATACATACGCACACAGTCTCCTGTCCGTGCAATTCTGTTGATCGGCACTGTTGCATCACATCCCTTTCTCCAGTTGGCTCTGTCGCTGAACGTGTTGAAACTTTCGGTGTCTTTCTTCATCCGTGATTGCCTGCGCCTAACAGTTTGGAGTAAGTTCCAACAGTTGCAGAGGACACGCTGCATGCTTGAGACTGAGCCACAAAGCCTGCCACAAAGAACAGTCAACCAAACCATTCAAGCTGCCGGATAGCTGCGAGTCTTGCTACGAGATGTCCTTGCTCAATGCCTGCCTGAGGGGTTTTGACACTCACACTCGGACAAGCCTGGCAAGGTCCACCACGATACTGTCTTCAAGAATCGTTAACAGATGCCTGAGGGGTTTAGGGTCTTTGGTCCGAAAATCAGTGAGGGAAAAGCTTGCCGTGCCTTCCGCAGTGCTTGCGGTGCCGGATACCTCTCCATGAACGTCACATCGACCTGAGGTTAGACAAAGCCGCAATCCGGTCATCGCCACCGAAGCCCCCGCACAGTCACGGCATTGCTATCTGCAAGGACTGGGGGCCTGGCGACCTCCATGCCGGCAGCCCATGCTGCACGAAGCCCACTCTCCCCATCCTTGCAACAGTGGACCCTCTGCGCAGCCCACCGAGCACTTTACTACTCTTTACCCACGGACCTCATAGGCGCGGCATCGGCGAGGATCCACGCCCAGTCGTCTTGCCTAAGCTGATACAAGGCCCCATCCATGAATATTCCAATTGCATTCTAAATGTCACGGGGAGCTGCGGCACGACCGACACTTGCAGCTGCTATGATCTGATCGAGCACTCCCAATTCCCATGTGCAAGCTTGAGACTTGGCTCAAGACCGCTTCGAGGTAAATGGCCGGGTCTGGCCTCGAAAGACAAAAAAAATCACCCGGCCCGAGCCCGGGAGTCGCTGCTTAAGGCACATACCAAACTCTCTGAGCACCTGTGTGGCAGGGGCGAACCGGTCAAGGCTTTTCGGGGACCAGGCTTGCCGCGGGGCACCTCCGATGCGAAGACCATGTGCCTGAGAGGCTTATGGCTCTGATTTGCAAGACTTTGTAGCTTGCCTTGGCATCAAAAATTTGCTGAGCACACCCGCAACGTTTGAAGGCTTAATTACGGATCACTCTCCATCAGCTTCCTGATGCCCGGGAAACAGGACTTTGCGGGTTTTCGCCGGAACTGTCCACAGCGCTTGGCCATACAATCGCAGTAACTTGCAACCTGGATGGACGCAGCTACCCTGACGTGAGACAAGCGCGCGTCACAAGTCGCGACTTCGGAGAATCGGAGATTCGACGGCAATAAAGCCTAGTCGAACGGTCGAACGAAGGGCTGCAGCCTGACTTGGGTTTCGGAGTGATTCAGCCATAGCTGCCATCGCAAAGACAAGGGTTCTTCAACACTTGCTTGGGATCTCCTGGTCCTTGGGACCAGACTCACGAGACACAAGGTCCATTAGCCCGGCTGCCTGCAGGTGTTCCAGCCTCAGCACGGGGAGCGGGGAGCTTCAATGTGCCCATCTGGAGGTTTTGGAAATGTTCCAGGATGTATGTTCAGGTGGCACCCGAACTATTCGCAATCGCGGTGCAGTACATGCCTTCGATATTCGACAAAAAATAAACCTCCGTTATGGGGAAAACTGTTGCTTCAGCTGAGCGTACACTAGTGTTTGGGGGTTGGGCCACACCACGTGACTTCTGTGTAGTTTCGGCCCTAATGCGGTACCTGTATCCCAGAGAGAAACCTGCAAATACCTGTTTGATGGCCTCCCCTGCGAGGGCCCTCGATTTCTGAACTTATCGGGAATGATATTTCCACGCCCGACTCTCCATGGACGAGTGCCCAAACCAGCTCCCATCTATCCCTGGCTCATCGTGGGACAACCTGAATGGACGTAGAAAGCTAAAGCCAAAACTGTTGAGCATGCGCAAAGCCGAGGTGCTCAGCCAACGAACCGCCCGGAAGCTATGAATCGGTGAAGATGCTGCCGTGTTCCCCTCCCTCATGCTGCACTCGGCTAGCGGCTAGCGCATGTGTAATTTGATGAGTCACCGAGGCTCCAGCACAATGTCTTTCAATCCGGATGTGGCGATCGCAACAGGCACACCGCGCCTAAGCTGGAAAGACATTGGATAGGACCGACATGATTGATTCAACGGTGCATATGCATAGAAGCCTTGTCAACCAGCTGAGACGTAAGTCGAGTGGTGCATGCACATGCGCCCTGGCCCCCCCCAGACTGTACCCTGTGGTCTTCGCAAGTTGCAGGCGAAAGCCGCAGGCCCAACTCTGGGTTGGGTATGCAAAGCCGAAGCAGTATAGTCAGTATAGGGGGATCCCTAAGCGGAACTATCTCTGGGGCAGCCACTCACGGTACTCCTTCAGCAAGGACACGACCTCAGCTTCTGAAACCAGGTGCGATATAAAGAGTGCGGCAAAGGCAAGCAGCAGCTGAGTGGATGGCACAGTCAATTGCCGGTGGATGGCCCTTCTCGGCCTGCACCGCTCAGCGGTGGAGCTTGGTGGCAAAATGTGGCAAACCTTTTTGAAGGGCTTGCACCGCTTGGGCACGGTCAGCTGTGCATGCAGTGTGCATGCTCCAGACATCATTCTGGAAGCTCCAAAGTTCTGCGGACAACCCTTCTCAACCAGCGCACAGTTCCCCCTCACCTAAGTGGTCCCTTTTGTACTCGCACCTCTGGCCTGGCCTCTCGACGAGATCAGTCCGCGTGAGTGCATGTGTTTTTGGCGGCCTCCTCTTCCTTGTGCAAGCGGACCTTTTCTGCAATGAAGTCCCTCCTTGGTCAGGGAAGCAACTGACGGAAACAAATGATGAAAAGCAGTATACAGATTCGCTCCCCAAGCATAGCAACATAGGCACAGGTACAATCTGCAACCCAAGGCCGGCATGCTGTGTAATTTCGTTCTGAAAGATCTGAGTGCAGCACACATATTCGGGAGAGGGATCACAACCTCAGCAAAGCAAGGAATGCTGGGGCACAAGACCCAAGGACCCGAGCATCCGCACATCGGTAGGACCCGAACCTTTCTGAGCAAGGTGCAAGCTCTGCACCTAAGCATACCGCTGGACACCACGGGCGGCAGGAAGCAAACCAAAATACGGAATGCATGCAGCTGCCGGATCCTCACTCATGGATTCCGCTCGTGCAAACCAGGTCAGAGCAAGACTGCAATTCAGCCGGCCAGGCTCCTCGCCATGTCCGGTAGAGGCACGCCTTCCCAAGGTCTAAACAGGACGGATTCCGGAATGCCCAAAGATCTTTGAACCGACACAGGGGGCGCAGGCCTGCAAGATGATAGAAATCATCTTCCGTAATCCGGAGATCAAACCTGGAGGCGAGGCTTTGGCGCGTGAGCGGCGACTTGGCATGTTGAACTGCTGGGCTCCGCAAGCAATGGAAAATGTCGGGACTGAGGCCTGAGGCCGCACTTGAAGGCTCTAGGATCTCGGAATCCTAGGTCCTAGAAATCCAAAGATCCAAAGCCCATTCGAGTCCCGAGTCGCCGAGGCTGTGCCCCAGTCCTCACAGGCAAATGCGTCGACTCGCTTGAGCAGTACCGGAACTTTCAATTCGGCAGAGTTGTCAGAGGCGGGCAGCCGGGGCTTGCAAGGCTTGAAAAGCGTTCGAAGGTGATCCACGCATCACCTGCCACAGAAGGGTAATCAGAATCAAACAAGGTGTGCATCTGAAATCGCACTACTACGATGTACTATAGTGATCTGCAGCTGGCATGTGGCATCTCCTCGGCCAGGATGGGTAGAACAGCGGCATCGTGTCCAACCTTACCGTTCTGAGTTTAAGTGCCGGGACTGCTGTCCTGATGGTAAACGGTGAACGCAGGACAGCAGCACTTTTGGTTTGATTCCCTTCTCTGTCTGTCTCTCTCTCTCTCTCTATCACTTCTTCTTCTCCTCTCATGGTTGCAGCACAATTCAAGCCCCAGGCGGGCCGGCCGGCCCGCGCAAGTAGGAAATTTGGAGGGGGAACAATTTTAGCTTCTACCCCACGACAAGGATGTGGCCTCTATGTCGCAAGGAAACATTTCACATTCTTCGGAACAAGCTTCGTTTTTTGAAGCAGAACTTCGGTTGCTAGCCCCCCCAGGGGGACTGTGGGTAAAGCTCGAGCATCTGCCAAAAAGGATTACACAACTTGCAGCATTGTTTCCAATGTAACTTGCATGCTTTCTCTCGATTACACAACATAGAGTTGGAACAGGGTCGGAACTTCAAAGTTGACTGCTAAGCATCGTTCCTCCGAATGGAATGAGGCAGCAAGGACTGGAAGTTAGTACCCCCGATGAGGCCTGAAGCCTAAAGGCCTAAAGGACATGGATCATCCATTGAGCTTCCTCGACATTGGTGGTACTGCTGAGCACTTCCGAGCCCAAGCTCTCCGAAGACTGCTGAAGACACAAGATCCCCGCTTTGACCGTTTGAGATCGTTGCAGCGTTCCGTCCACATCGAAGATCGCGCCCTGAACCTCGGACGGAGTCATTTTTGCCTCCTGCATTGCTGAAAGAGCTGCTCGGCAGGGTGCCAGTTTGATACTTTAGCGAGATTCTCCTGCAAAGTAATGCGCATCATCGCAGCAAGAGCGTTAACGTTCAAAGGCATCACGCCAGCAGGCTTGTTTGCCTCCCGCCTAGCTAGGACACAGCCCGCAGCCCGCATTACAGGGTTCGTCGCCAAAGTAGCGCGTGACAATGAACACGCCAGCAGCTCGGACGGAGGGTTTAAGGGAGTTTAGGGCCCCAAGGTTCAAGAAGACTACGACATGAACTTCAGCTGACTGCTTCTCGGGACTGCATCCATTTGGTCTAGCTCCCTCCTGCCCCACCATGGATATCGGCAGTTGGACTACCGTACTAGATGCGTTGTGGGGGCGGCGCGATGGGGTTGGCAGACAGTGCGCACGGGTCCCACACCTGCCGCGAGTCAGTGCACGCGCTCGTTGCATGGGTTCGAGTGCGCTTCACTCCCTCACGCGGGGGCCGTGCTCGTATTGAGGCACCCAATCTGCCGGCACTCCCGCCACGCCTCCAGCGCGCCGAAATCGCGTCGCCTGCAGGCCGTGACACCTCCGAGGCTCACCTGCCTCACGAATTACCTTTCTTGCCGTAGCGGCCCCAGCAAGAGAGATGTAGAAGGGCTTTGGTATTTCTCACAGCTTTTGGGAAGATGCAGGAACTGACTCTGCTTGACCTGCCGGAAAGCGGCGGCGTCATCTTCCAGCTGATGCGGCCCCACCTCGGCTGTGAGTTGGAGCCGAAAGGTGACTCTGCGTGGGTGCAGTGACCTGAGCAAAAGACCCACGAAATCCCTCCAAGGACATGCTGCTTTGCAGTCATGTAGGCCATGTGGGGCCATTGCAATTGCTGTATTCCGCTGGCGAGGCCCCCACCCGAGCCATGAACCCCCGCGCAGCGTAATTCCTGCACGAGGGCCTTTCAACGTCCTCCCCCCCGTTATAGGATGACAACGGCTTTAACAATTTCATTCTTCAATAGCTAACAGGAATCTCACTTTGGAGGTATGCTTTGCTTGAAAAGTCGGGTTTTGAGCACGTTTGCCTGAACTAAATGCGGAGTGAATGCAACACTGAAGCGTGCTGTGCATCATAACAAACGCATATCCACATGCCCCCGCAGGAAAAAGCAGCTTGAGCAGTGCAATGCAGCGCAGGAACCAAGCATTGTTAGCGGGATCATCTCTGCTGTTTCTGTTCGCTGTCAGTGGACCTGATGATTACCATGGTCGTCCTCACTGGTCTTGCGTCGCCCTCCCATGACAGGCTTTTCCTACACAACTTGTAAGTGAGTGCAGTGACACAAGCGTCTGCAGGGCTCGCCGCGTCCTGCCTCAACCCATGCATGTCACAGGGATCGACTGTGCTTTTCTCGGGGTTGTGGCTAACTTAGGTGCTGCTAGGCCATCCTGCTAGTCACCGGTCTGCCAAATGAGCAAGAACCTCCTTCTTAGAGTCTTCCTTCGAATCTCCAGCCGCTGTCCGCACGATACCCACGATTCAAAAAGTTCCAAACAGGAAGGAGGCTTAAACCGTGGGTCTACCGTAAATGTCATTGTAGTAACTAAGAACCAGGTAGCAAAGATGCTCTCAGAACCTTACCATGTCGCCTCCCTTCTGGCCGGTCTTGCCTGCTGTGATTCGTCTCATAACTGGTCACGGCCCCTGCACTTCGGGTGCAGTGCTTCCCGGAAGTGAAGTGTGGCCGTGCCAAATTCATTAAAGGATGCACTTCCCAAAACGGATCTGTTCCACACCGTCCTCTTAGCAGAAGCCAACAGCTCTAAATTAATTACAGTCATTCTCTTCGGGCAAAGCAAGCACTGACCCGAACCCGGCGAAGCCATCAAGGTATTCAGATTGCAGAAGCGGTAGACCTCTTGTGCCCTCTAGCTTTTTGTCTCTGGATTTGGAGGGCATGCCATGATCTGCCATGCAGGCCTTACACCCTCAGATCCATTTCGGAACAGAGATCTGCTTCGAGACCAGCCGCTGGGCGCTAGCCCTATAGGGCCTCGGACCAGAGGCCCCCCGTTAAAGAACACCCTAATAACACGCCATGAGTCATGAGCTTTTCAAGTTCGGGGTAGGTTTGTGACGGAATCGGGCGAAACGAAACAGACCTCGCTCGAATGCAAGCGGTGGGACCAGGAGTTGCGTACCAAAGATTCTTAAAAGCTTGAAGCGTGCGCGGTTCAGGTTGTGTAGGGATCCACACAGGCAAGAGCAGCCAGAGATGATCAAAGATCGAAGCTCGTATGCTCAGTTGCTCAGTTCCGCACATCACCACCTAATGAATTCAAAGGGCCATGGAAATGTGGGCCCCAGGTCAGAGCCAACTTGTCGATACTCCACTTGCAACTCCTCGGTACTCAGAATATACTGTACAGAAGGCTGGGCCAAATGCAGCAAGTCAGAGAACTGCATATGTACACTTGCGCCGATTTCTGGCCACAGCTAGCTGCACTCAACAAGGTCCTGTTGCCAGTTGACCTTGATGCTTCTAGTGCTTGAAAATTCTGCGGAGCTCTTGGCAACCTGCACGACACCTATCGGGAGATGGGTCTGCGCAAGGCCAAGCTCAATGGTGTGTCAGACCTGAGCATAGTGCAAATCAGGAACTGCACTGCGGCTGTGACCGGTGTGACTGATTAAGTTTGCTTTGACTGCAAGGATGCTGCTTGAATGCAGTTTTTTGGCCTGGGGACCCGGCCAAATACCACGCAGCTGTGGCGTCTGCTTTACTAGATGCGCCTCAAAGGCAATGGCAAACAAGACCCATCACACTGCGCTAAACTAAATGGTACACCAAGCACAGGCTGACTCAAAGCGCTGCCGGTGTTTCTGAATCTTCTCATTAGTCCTAGCTCCTGTTCTCAGCCGACGTACTGCCATTCTGGAAGTGAATCATATTGAGTGAACGGCTCTGAATGACGCCGTCGTCGTTGATGTAGATTTTTGAAAGCACAGGCTCCTCTATGACTTCGCATGGGCCTGCGGCGAAGCATTTCGGGGAGTACACCGGGAACTTGCCCACGATTCTCTGCTTAGCTGTGTGCTTTGCCGACTGTGCGGAAACACGTTTTTTGGGGGGGTTCTCTCTCCTCCCCTAGACCTGAGAGGTCAAAAATGAAGCCTCGGGGAATTCTTCAAGGTCTAGGACAATTCCCGTTCCTATTTCTATGACGACAGTACATTCTACAGTTGATGCTATAAATCCTGCATTACCAATCATAAGGAATATACCATAACCCCCATAGTTTAGGGTCCTTAAGGTAGTTTAGGGTCCTTAAGGTAATGCAGGATTTATAACAACAACAGTAGCTAGTACTACATACAGTAGCTGGTACCTCCATGATCCGGGAAGACTCGTTATGGTTAGTAAACTGGCTACAAAACGCACGCAAGCCGGCCTGCAAAAACGTCCTCGCTGCTAACCATCTCGATGTCGATGTCCTCTACTGTACGGACCCGAACATATCTTAAGTACAAGTAGGCCGGGGGGGCTGCTGCATCGCTGATGTCAGAATACTAGCTTGAGCAAACCTGTTGGCTTACAGCTTGAAGCCTCGGCGGTCCGAGCACCACATTTGTCGATTCACGAGCTGAGTCCATGGACAGTTCATCCGTGATCGTGGCTTTGAAGCCAAGACGAAATCTCAGGGCGG